TCTATTAGTTAAAGACCTGGACAGTTTTATGAAACTGGGACCAGTTCACTGGTTTTCCGGTTAAACTAGTTGGCCACCAGTTTTTTAACCAAAGCAATTACTAGGGTATGACCGAACTGACCAAGGTCCTGGGTCATAGTTCAACTGATCCAACTGGTTGGTCCGGTCTGATTTTCTAAACACCGACAATAAGAACTGTTAGTGGGCATAGTAATTGAGGGGATCGAGATGCCTCAATGGGAAAATTTTCTGTCATATTTACTCCAAAGCAAGCTTCAAGATATCAATACAGCCTGATACACCGATAGGGGCGTATCAGGTTGTATATTGGCTCACTCTACTTTTTTTTATTTTTTTTCTTCAAAACTTGTTCAAGGAGTTTAAGGCCCCGCCTACCCCCTGAAATAGGTGGAACTCCGAAACACCTTGTGTAGGAGCATATCAAAGAGGCCCCGATACAATACGTATCGACCAATACATGATGAAATTTTGAATTCAAAGAAATGCTCATGGGGCTTTAGAAGTCTTTTGCTTAGAAGTAATGTGTTGGAGTGGGATTATTGAAAAATTGTAAATGGTGAGTCTGTCCGTATTTGGGATGATCCCTAAGGCAGAAACACTTCCAAATTTCAAACCAATTGGCCCCCAAAGTTAACCCAAACCAGAAAAATAGAGTAGTTCAAAGGTTTCATTGACCCACATACTACCAGATGGGACAAAGATAAAATTGCAAATTATTCCAGTCTTGAAATAACAAATCAAATTTGTAGGATTGAATTGCAGTAATAAATTAATGTAGGCTCCCAATTCAATGGGAAGATTCACTGTAAAATCAGCCTATTTTATAGCCCATCATCAAAGCTTGGAACATTCAAAAGATAGGACACAAGCAGCATCTTTAAACATTCCACCTAAAATATAGAGTTTCATTTGGAAATGTTGTTTGAATGGCATAGTTGTAATGAAAAATTTTGCAAACTTAGGTTTGAATGTAAAAGATGTGTGTCCATTATGTGAAAGAGTACCGGAATCCATTTTTCATGCATTATAATTTTTTGGGTAAATTGCATATAGGTACCCTGTACTTTGGGGTAATCTCACCTTAGGGCCTGAACTTTCAAATGTGTCATTTTAGTACCAGAACTTAGAAAATATACATTTAGGCTGAGTTTGGAAGCAGTACAAATGCAAATATGTAGAGGGCAAAACCTTATATTTTGTATTATTTTGTATGTACTTACGCTGTACATATTTGCATTTGTACTCTTTCCAAACTGAGAATTAAGTCCAACTCCATTAAATTAACTTGCAGTGAGGGATAAAATTATGAAAATGTCCATTATCTGATTCTCTATTTTCAAAATTCATCTTTCTTCAACTTTTGGAATTTAGATGCAAGCCAATGGTGGCAAAGTAAGCTCACCCTGGTTTGTTCACTGGCGGTAGTCTCACATTTGAACACTTTGCCACCAATGGTTTGGGTCCGGAGTCAAATGAAGGGTGAAGAAAAGAGAGTTAATACATGGCATTTTTATAATTTTACCCCTCATTGTAACATTAGCTTAACAGAGTTGAATTTAAATGTATGTGTCCAGAAATTCAGGTACTAAAGTGGCACATTTGAAAGTTCAAACCCCAAGATGAGACTATCCCCAAAGTACAGAGTACCTATCTGCAATTTATCTTTTTTTTTTTTTTTTTTGTGGTTATGCTAGAGCTACGTGGTTTGGAAGTAAAATGGATTTGATTATTGGTCTAGAATTGAATGATCCAAACTTTGCAGTGTGGTGGAAACATTGGTTAGATAAATTTGAAGACTCAAATGTGCAGAATTCTGATTTGTTGGAATTTATGGTAATTATGTTATGGTGCATTTGGAAAGTTAGGAATGATTGTATGTTATGGCCATTTAGCAGGTTTATGTTGAATTGGAAACTCAAGCGAACAGTTTTTTTTTTTTTTTTGCAATAACCAACTCCAGCTTTATTAAAACAAATGTGGATGGCAGTTTCCTAAAATCTGGTATTAGAGGTTTCAGAGTAATTTTTAGAGATGCTTTTGGTTCTTTTTTGTTGGAAAGAATGGGCTCTGCTATGCTTCTTTTGCAGAGTATTTTTGCTATTAGAGAATGCTGCTTACTAGCTAAAGAGTATGGATTTTCAAACTTGATAGTTGGAAGTGATGCAAAATCTACAGCTAATGCCATTTCTCAAGCAATACAAATGCTTGGTCTCTGTTATTGGATATCTACAGTCTTCTCTCTCTCTCTCTCTCTTGATGGTGTGAAATTTATCTTCATTGAATGAGAGGGAAACCATGTCGCCCATGAACTAGCCAAAGAAGATTTAAACAATTCAGTCTCTACCTGGTTGCATTCAGCTCTTTGGTTCCAGGATCTGTTAGAGTGGGATCAGTGAACAACCTCTGTGTCCACCCTCCGTAGTTTTGCTTGTCTAGGTTCTTTGTGCTTCTTTTGTTGGTACTAGTTTCTTTAGCCTTTATTATGTGGTGATGTTTGTTGGTTTTCTTTAATGAAAGGTTTTTTTATCCAAAACAAAAAACAAAAAAGAAAAAGCCTAAAGAGATGCAATTAAACTCTTTCTGATAAGCTTGTAAAATAACGCAAAAGAACCCTACTGGATGCAACTTTGGTGGTATAGTCGGCAATGAAGTTCTCGAATTCAAATTTATGGAACCAACAACAGTACTAAAATATGAAAGCTGACCAGTCACACATTCTTTCATTCATGAGAAGTGAGAACTGACAACTGAAGCTATGTTTGGTTTGATAGTAAATAAAAGAGAACTGAAGTTATGTGATTTTTGTGAGATTCCTTAAGGCTCAATTTAGAAGGAGTAAAAATGCAAATATGTAGTGTGTAAAACTTTGTATTTTGTATTGTTTTGTATTGTACATATTTATATTTGTATTCCTACCTTTCATGAGAATTACGCTTATGTTTGATCGGATAGAAAACAAGGGAAACTTTCTGTTTCTCACTAATTTTCTATCAAACCAATACCAATGAGGGATTGACATCACAAGCCATGTGAAGTGTTCTGTTACTTCCTCATTTTGTCTTGATTCATCAAGTGGCCAAATATGTGATACAAAAGGCATGGGCTGACTAAAGTGCAAAACCTTGTATTTTGTATTGTTAAACCTTATATTTGCACTCTACATATAAAAATATGTAGAGTGCGAGACCTTGTATTTTGTATATATCTGTATCATACATACTTGTATTTGTATCCTTTTCAAACTAAACCTTATTAGGCTCAGCTCAGAAAGAGTACAAAACCTTGTATTTTGTATTATTTGTTATGTATCTGCACTGTACATATTTGTATGCATCAATATTGCCTCATTGAAACACAGGATGTCCAATTTTTGTCTACCATGTGTGTCAATGTGTTGCTCGTTACATCCAGCTTTCTTAATGTTTTGTCTTTGCAACGCAAGCAGTTTAAAAAATTATATTTTGACCTAAAGTTCCGCAATGTGAACTACTCTTTTCAGTTTTCTATCCTCAAGCGTGCTGCTGAAAATCATGGATTTCTTTCTTTCTATCCTCTCCCTACATTTTCTTTCAAGCCAAGCACAGCTTTAAGGTTGCCACACAATTGCTACATTTTTTCTGTTTTTCTCTTCATGGAACTACACAACGAGGTAGCCCATCCCCCATCCCCTCAAGCCTCAACCCCTCAATCTCTGGTGGGGGCAGGATTTGATCCCAGATCTCAGGTACAACTAACCAGAGATCCATACCAACTGAGCCACCATCAGTTGATCACACAATTACTACTTTCGCCCCTATAAGACAGATTACGTATAACTGGAGTGTCAATTGGACTGGATTTGGCCCAATCTGATCCAGTCCAATGTGAGCCCATTACAAATGGACCAGGTAAAATCCAATCCATTGAATATTTTGGATTGGTCCAATTCAATGTCTGGAAAGTCCAATCTGTTCAAATTTGTTTTAATTTAGATTGGTTTTAACTCAAACCTAGACTATTGACACCTATATACTTATCTTCTATCAATGGGCCAGATATTGTATCAATCCAATATAAATTCATTACGGATGGACCAGGTCCAATCCGATAAATACTTTGAACCATTAAGTCTGGACTGGTCCAATTCAATATATCTTCTTTATCTATCCAATCCATCCAAATTGATTTTGATTTGGACAGGTCCAATCCAAAACCAGTCCATTAAAACCCGTATGCATAACTAAGACCCCTGACCCTCTATTTCAGCGCCGAGTAAAACTCAACTTCGATGGATAAAATCGATAGGGAAACCACAAACCAGGTTTCATAGGAAGCTGGTTTCTGCAAATTTTGGCCCAATCATGAAACAGATAGCAGTTTGAGTTAGGATCGTGCATCTACAAAGCTCAATTTGGAAGGAGTACGAATACATACATCATATATTAGAGTGCAAAACCTTGTATTTATACTGTACATATTTATATCTGTACTCTTTCCAAACTGAGCCTAAAGTACAGTTTTAAGCATAGTTTAGAGAAACAATGGAATTGGTAGCCTACCTAGTAGCATCAAGTAGCAAATGGCCGGATGAGTTGTTAATAAGGAAATAATGACACGATGCATTTGAGAGAGAACTATTTTATTTAGACAATAGCAGGAGCAATGGATGACTGGTATATATATATGGTTGAAGGAGAACTCACATATTGTGTGCTGGCTCAAAAATGACATTGAGTTATTGGAAATATAGGTACACCATGAGGCAGATAAAAGAAATAAGCTAAAAGTCTAAAACATTGAGGACAACTTATAACTGGACATCAAAATCAGCTAATAGCATGGCTGATGCCTTAGCAAGACAAGCAACAAGAAGGAATCAAGAGTTAGGTGGCAATACTAGCCTAAACCAGAGGCATTTTGGACAAACTAAAGCTGTACATCCAATATACGAGAGAGAGAGAGAGAGAGATGAAAAAGAAAAAAAAATGAAAAGTTGAAAATGAAAAGAGACCGGGTGGAAGTCACAATTATAAAGCATTCAACTTGCTAGAACAACGAAACTGTCATCAAAGTATAGCAAAACAATGGCAAAGCCAAAATCCACAGGTGAAAACAAGAAATAAGGGTTACCAAAATCGAAGAAGGCACATAATTTTGACAGATCTCGGTCACTTGAGCCATCATTATTACAGAACAAATTCATAAAATTCACATAAATTTCCTATATGGCCTCCGATAGTCCTCATCTTGCATATGCTGTCACCACCACAACAGAATATTAGAAAAAGGAAATAATAAGCCTACTTACTACAAAGGAAAATAGTTCACTTGAATTATACTTCCAACATGAAAGAGCATTTTATAAGAAACCAACTAGCACTCAAACATTGTCAGAAAAGTTACCAATTTGTTAGTGAATTAACATCAAACCAACTTAAATTCCATGAAGCAATATACATGAGAATCAAGATAAAGGCTAAACAGCAATTACGGTTTATTTTTTTAGGTAAGATTTTCAGCCCCATGCTCCACAATTCATTTATTGCAATAATCAAAATGTAAGAAGCCCAACCAAAATTTCATAAATGAAGAACTAATAATCAGAATAGGGTATTTAAAGTAAACTAAGTCAAATCCCTCTCAATTGGCTGAATTCTCTTCAATTAAAAAAAAAATGATAATTTTGCAATGTTCTTGCTTGGCCAACAATTAGAATGAGGGGAGAAAACATTATATATTTCAACAAACTGAAATTGCACTACTGAAAGTAGAAACCACTGGTAGTTAACATTTTTGATAGTTTTCTTTTTTTTTGTAAAAGGTGATGTAATTTTATTCAACTCAGAAAATCAAATACAGACTGAAATTCAGACCCAAGAAGGCAGTCTGAAGAACAGCCGGGACTACAATCTCCACTAGGAGCAAGACTGAAACAAATCGGGCAAGCTAAGATCTCTGAACTCCCCAGAAATGGAAATCCAAGAAATCAGCTTGCCCACTGCTCTCTGAATTACATCATCAAGACCCATAGATCTATTACAGAAAACTCTACTATTCCTTTCAGCCAAAATGGACCACAAAACAGCAGCAGGGATTGTCTTCCACATCAGCTTTCCTCTCTTACTTAGACCCTTTGATTTCCAACTACAAAGGTGCTCCTTAACCGATCTCAACATGACCCACCTAACACACAACGCTTTGAGAAAATGCATCCAAATCTGAAAGGAGAACGGACAGTGAAGACATGAATGATCTGTAGTTTCTGTGGCAGTCCCACAAAGAGCACAAGCTGAATCCAGAATTTTAATGCCTCTCCTTAACATATTAGACCTGGAAAGGCATTTGTCTAGGGCCATCGTCCAAACCAGAAAATTAGATTTTGAGGGGCTCATAGAATTCCATATCTGACTAACTGGGAAATCAGTATGCCCCACACTGCATAATTTAGCAGCCATGGACTTCACAGAAAAAACATCATTCGGCTTCCATTTCCAGCACCACTTATCATCCCTAAGAACATCTATCTTCTGCTTATGAAGGAGAGTCATCAACTCCACAAATTCTTCCAAATCCCAATCAAACAAATTCCTCCTAAAGAGAGGGGACCAAGACACTGAATCCTCAAGCAAATAGAAGTAATCAACCACAGTAGCCTCTTGGTTGACAGCACATCTAAAAAGGAAAGGGAAAGAGCCAGCAAGGGGGCCATCCAAACACCACATATCCTTCTAAAATTTTGTTCTATCTCCTTTATCCACAGTCACAGAAATCCCTTCCCAGAAAATAGGAAAATTTTTCATAATTCCTTTCTACAGAGAGTTGCCCCAAATTAGAGGGGGAGCTCTAGTTCTCCAGTTTCCCCATTCCACCCCATACTTGTCAGCAATAAGGGATCTCCACCAAGCATTCCTCTCAGCCGAGAATCTCCAAATCCACTTGCACAAGAGAGCAGTATTAAAATTCTTCAATTTCCTTATTCCTACACCACCTTTAGCTTTAGGAAGACAAACGTGGTCCCAATTAACCAGATGAACCCTGTTCTCCTCCTCCCAACCCCTCCAAAGGAAACTCCTCTGAAGCTGCTCCAATCTTTTAGCAACTCCAATTGGGATAGGGATCAAGGAAAGGAAATAACTTGGCAGATTTGAGAGGATACTTTTTATCAAGGTCACCCTTCCTCCAAAAGAGAGGTATTTATCCTTCCAAGATGATAATTTCCTCTCCAATCTTTCAATGACTGGATCCCAAATCGAAGAAGAAAGCCAATTAGCCCCCAAAGGCAGATCCAAATACTTCACGGGGATATGGCTTTTGTTCAAATTCACCTTTAGCCCAGAAACCACCTCAAACCAGACTAAGATTCCAAAAATGAGTTCCAAGTAGGACGGAGAAGCATCCACAAGGCACAAAGTATCATCAGCAAACTGGAGAATATCGACCTCCCCCCCCCCCCCGAACAAATAGCAAAGCCTTCCCAACTGCCAGCATCAGCTACCTTCTTACAAAACAGGGTGAGGATTTCCATCACACAGATAAAAAGCAAAGGGGAAAGAGGGTCACCCTACCTCAGCCCCCTAGAGCTATCAAAAAAAAAAACTACTAATTGGCATTAATCAAGACTGAGAACTTAGGAGAGGTTGTGCAGACTTTGATCCAATTTCTCCATTTCTGCACAAAATTCATATGTTGCAATACCAAATCAATGCACCTCCGGTTAACATGATCATAAGCCTTCTCAATATCTAACTTACAAATTAAACCTGGGACTCCCTCCCTTCTTCTTGAGTGAATTAATTCATTTGCAATGAGGACCGAATCAAGCATCTGCCTACCATGGACAAAGGCACTTTGATTATTTGAAATAACACTTCCTAACACCCCCTTTCATTCTCTCAGCAAGGACTTAAGCCAGAATCTTATAAAAACTGTGATGGAGACTAACTGGCTTGAAATCTTTGACATTAACAGACCCTTCAATTTTTGGGATGAGAGTGATGAAGGTAGCATTTAAACTTCTTTGGAAAGAGGCATTATCATGAAAAGCCTGAAAAACATTCACAATGTCTTGATTTACAGTGTCCCAGCATTTAATGTAGAACAAATTGGTAAGGCCATCCAGTCCAGGCGATTTATCAGCCGCCAGCATGGAAATTGCAGCTTTAATTTCCTCCTCCGTGAAAGACCTCTCAATGAATATCTTCTAATCTCCACTTAACTGCTTAAAAGGGAGATTTCTGGGAAAAGGTTACCATTTTTGATAGTCATATATAAGAAATCTGTTACCATTTATAAAAATGAGAATGAATCAATTTTCTTTGGTTGAACACCCTATATTACCAATTTTACCCCTTTTAATACATCTCTGAATTGACGACCAAACTCTCAACCTTCTATTTTGCCCCTACATATAACTGATACATATGACAGAGACAGGTGTCCTAAAAACACAAATGTGTATAGCAAAAGTCTACATGGTTTCTGTCAATTTGCTTCTATAGTGAGCAGAAGCCACATGGAAAGAAGTGAGAACCCACTTCACAGATGTATTTGGAGGTGGTACTATGGAGATTATGATGTGAAAGAAATGACAGGATATGATTTGATAACTTGATAATTTTGAAATTATTGAGGTTATTAATAGTTAAATAATAACAATAATAATTTTTAAAATGGTTTTACAATTATTACAAAAAAACTATTGAAAATATTGATAATTCAATAATAATTATTGATAATTATTTTGTTATTCAAAATTTGATAATTTCATAATGATGGTAATTTCAGTAATTGTTATTATCAATTTATTAGTCATTATTAAAAATAATCACCTATAATTTTGACTATTAATAACCTCAATAATTTTGAAATTACCAATAATTTCAAAATTATCAAATTATTGGATAGCAAAATTACTGTAAAAACTCAAATTTCCATAATTATAAAATTTCTGAAATAACAAATTATTGAATAAAAAATTAATTTTAACAAAACTATTAAATAACAAAAGTTATTTAAAAAATTACTGTTATTATTTTTTAATTATCAATAATTTCCAATAAATTTGAAATTATAAATAATTTCTATGGGACAATTATAATTGTTATTATTATGTAACTATCATATTTGAAATTATTGTAACTATTATTATTATTTAATAACAGTTATTATTATTCAATAATTTTTGTTATTATTACTGATTTCTCATAATTACCCTTAAGGAAAATAGATAAAAAGAAAAAAATTGAAAATAATATAATGATAATTTTAGTATTAAAATTAGTGCTATTATTAATTAATTATCAATAATTTTCATTTTTAATAAGAAAAATTACTGAAATTAGCATAATTATAATATTACGAAATTATTGAATAAAAAAATAGTTATCAATAATTGTTTTGAATAACAAAATTTAAATAATTTTCAGTAATTTCTAATAATAAAACTATTGAAATTTACTTTAAATAATAGTAATTATTGGAATTAGCATCATTATAAATTATCAAATTATTAGATAACAAAATAATGGTTTTCGAATGGCATTTTTAGGGTGTTAGTAAGGATTTTCAATTTCTGTGAATTTTTGTACTGTTTTAGGAGGCATAGGAGGATGGTGTTTTGTTCAGAACACGAGTTAGATATCACAACTGGGGATTATGATTTGTTGATTCAATGACAGACTTCAAGTTGTTGACACATGCATGGTAGAACAAAAAGATGTTCTAGCAATTCTTCAATTTCAAGCCAATTTAGCTCAAAATGTCCTATGAATAGATTCAGTTGATGGTAACACCTCATAAGCCCTAAACTTAGAACTTTTACTTGTTCTCTGCACCAATCTTTATTGTTTTTAGTAGTTGATGAGCTTTAAAGTTGATTGTATTGGGTGATTGTTTGCTATGAGCATTCATTGGGTTATTTATATATTCAATCATATTTTTTTCATCTAACCATGTAAAGCATGTCGGATTATAAGTAGTTTATCAAATTGGTTCAATTTAGCTTGGCCCCCACCCTGATGATTAGCTTATAATCTTAAATTGTTTGATTGTATGCTAAAGTTAGTTTATAAATTGATGGAGAATTGAGTCAATATTATTTTTGTGTATTGTTTTTCATACTTCAAACATACTTCAAATATATTATTTTAGCAATAATATGATAAATATACACGTGCATGCACCCAACTAGTTTTAGTAAAAGAAAATCAGCTCCATCCAGAATACAAGTCATGATTACTTGTTCAATAAATGTACTTTTTTCTGAAACTTTAGGATTATATGAAAGAAGATCAAATAAAATAGGGAAATAAGCAATTTCCACAAATCTCAGGGTGGAACCAAGCTTTGTTATTGGAAGGAACTAATGACAATTCTTGGGTAGAGAAGCTAACATATGCAGGAAGAGATAACATAAATCTAAAGTTGACAAGATGACATTGTGGATTAGAAAAAAAAATATGAAGAGGGTGATTATGGGGTTTTGTGGTTCTCATGCCTCTTTCATCACTGAGCACAAGATCTTAATAGGGCTCGAAAAATTATTCCAGAACGAACCAGACTTACAAACTTTAAGACCCAAAATAATCTACTTAGTTACAACATCAAGAAAAAGAAAACGATCAATGAGTTCGATCCGTACATGAATTGAGAAATTTAGGGGATTAAATGAATTAAAAACGGCACAGAGACAAATTGACATTATTAGATTGAATAAGGGGGTAGAATAGAGCTCAAATTGATTGTAGAGAAAGAAATCATATCACGCAGAGAGATGAGGAAAATTAGGTTTTCGTGATTACGAATTCTTTGACGATGCCCTTGTAGACGAGGATGGGGATAGCGACGCCGAAGATGCCGATGAGTGCTAAGTTGCGCCGGGTCCAACGGAAGTTGAGCTCCAGATTCTCCCTCGCCGAGTTCCAGTCCTCTATGTACCTGTTCTTGTGCACCTCCATTCCTCCCCCCATCTTTTCCTTCGGCTGCTGCAGTCTCTCTCTCTCTCTCTCTCTCCTCACTTTGCTCTTTAATAATCCTCATGTTTCGTTCGTTTGGCTGTAGTGATAACTCTGACCTACGATAACAGTTTGACCGGTTTCTCATACAGTTTGGGCCATTCTATTGGGTTTAACCGAATTACAAACCCATAATAAATTGAAATGTTAATAAGTACGTTTTCTCATACAGTTTGGGCCATTCTATGGGTTTAACCTAATTATATAAATTATACGTTTTCTCAAACATAAGCATCCAACTGTGCATCAAATTATAAGTTAAAAATTGAAACAAACAGCAATTTATATATATATATATAATGTATTTAAACATATATATGCATATATATTTAAATATATAATAATTAAGTATATGTGTTGCATGTAAAAAAATTTTCTTCATATTAATTACTTGAATTTTAGATATATCATAGTCAGGATAAAAATAAAAAATTAACAAAAGTAACACTATGATTAAAAATAAACTTAAATATTTATTATTCAATTATGACATCATAGGGATGCATCATTGATCCACCATCTAGATAAGAAAATAGCATTACTTTTGGATTAGTTCTAAATTAGGGAAAATTATAGTTGAAGCAGGTTGTCCATTTAAAATGAGGCTACAAGTTGGTCCATAAAACAACAAAACTCTGACAACTAGCTCTATATTTGAAATTATAAAAACCCTCATCATGTCATTAGAGGCTTATGTAGTTGTTGCCAACATGGGACTTTTAATCCATACTAGACACAACAAAAAGCTTATACTGAATTTGCCCTTTAATGTTGGGTTATTGGAAAATAAAAAATAGGGTTTTTAGTTTCTCTCACTCTCTCTCTCTCTCACCCTCACGCTCTCTCACTCATAGTCATCTTTATCTGCTCAACGACTATGTGATTTGAAAATAAATAAAAATGGTTTTTGATTTATGTATTTACGTTCTCTATATCAATTTGTCTCATTCTCTCTCTACCTATCGTTCTCCCTTAATTTCTTTCATTCTCTTTCTCGGTAAATCTCTCATTTTTCCCTTAATTTCTATCATTCTCCTTTAATTTCTCTCTAGCTTCATCTCTTGTTTTTTTTTTCTTACGCAATTATATGGTATTAATCAGATTGTATAAAAGAACATGAGACCAACTTGGTATGGTTCAAAAATTATTACACCAATTTGATAAAAATTCACAAGAAACTCTTGGCTATGAAATTTACACCAATTGGAGAACGATAAAGATTGAGAGATAATGAAATATTGATCGAGAGGGAGAGGGAGGGGGAAAAATGAGAAAGATTGAGGAGAACAATAGAGAGAGAGAGAGAGAGACGTTTTGATTTGGCTACAGACCAAATATAAGAAAGTGGGAGAGACAAATGGAGTAGGAGATTGAAAGATGACTGTGAGAGTGAGAGATAAGGGAGGAAGAGACAGAGGAAGTGTGAGAGAAATTGAAAACCTATTTTCGGTATAGGTTTTTTGTTGTGTCCAACATTGAATAAGAGTCGCATGTTGGCAACAACCACCATAAGCCTCAAATGACATGGTAGGGGTTTTTATAATTTGAAATGTAGAGCCATTTGTTAGAGTTTTGTTGGTTTTTGGGCCAACCTACAACTTAATTTTAAATGTAGAACCGACTTTTACTATAATTTTCCCTTTAAATTATATATTTCATTTACATTATATAAAATATTTTTTACTTGTCACACTTAATTTTTGTTTGTCTATGGTATCATTTGACTTAAACCACTAATCCACCATCTAAAAATAAAAATTGTTTGATTTATAGGTTGACATTAAATTTTGTATTACATTTCCATCATTGATAAAATTATTTCTTATGCATAAAACTTTTTTTTGTTTAATATAATGAATGCACAATATCAGAGATGTACCCAATATTTTATTTTTTTATAAATATATAACATTAGATATGTGCCCAAAAACCTTTACAATTAACAAGGGTAAAATGGAAAAATATTAACCTAAAAAATTTATAGAACATGGAGACCCAGTTGGCTATAAACATGAGCCCCATACCCGGATTAGGTGACTTTTTTTTTGGACTTTAGAACCAATTATTGGCCAAACCCATTATAACCAGTTTGCTATAAACAGGAGCCCTATACCCGGATTAACACCATAGTATCTACATTTGAATATCTGGTTTGTCCTCTAATCTCTGAGATGAATGATTTTGTTTAGAAATGATGGCTTCGGTGTTAGAAAGGTTCTGGTCATGCTGACTTTGGTGACCAAAACCTTTGGCTTGCACATTTGATCTTCTTCTAAACTTGATTTTTTTTACTTTCCTTTTCATATTTTGTTTGTTATATTCTAAAGAGTATGAGCAGAATAGATTTGTAGGCCCCAATCTCGGAATTATAAGAGGTGAATTTTATTTTTATTTCTTGTTTTCTTCCTAGATCTATGAGATGATGGTGTATAAATGTGGTGGTTCCCTCCTTGCAAAGTGATACAATTAACCCACTATGAGTCTAGAAGGCAAGGCACCACAGAAGTCTACCTGAAAAACAGTATATGGCATTATAGGAGAGGTTTTAGTGAGATCTTCTCCAAACCACACCAAACCGAACCGTGAACACCTGTATTTGCCTTAACCAACCTTTGTGTCTGTGGTGACACTGAACTAGTGGAGGGTGGTAGAGAATGCTGCCTGGTGAACCCATTCTTCTCAGCCCCATTATGGCCAAAACTTGGGGAACCTTGTGCCTTGAGCTTGTTGCCATATAGAGCAAACATTTATTTTGTACAGCCTATTTATTTTGTTTCATATTATCTTTCCATAAGAAGATTGTATAGCTGTAGGTATAGATAAATCAGCCTTAAATCTCTGTAAATCAGTATAGCTGTAGGTAGAGATAAATCAGCCTTAAATCTCTGTAAATCAGTATAGTTGTAGGTAGAGACAAATCAACCTTTAATTACTGTATATTCAGCTATATATTCAAGGAAATCAGAATGAAAAGGCATTTGAGCCATTCAATCAAAATTCTGTCAAAGGAAAAGTTATCATGGTATCAGAGCCATTGTCTTAGAGTTTTGGAATTTCTGGTTATTCTTGGGTGACATTGGAACTTCAGGCCGCCATAGATTGCAAGTTCCATCTGGGTGATTTTCTTCAGAAAGCTCACGTATTTTGGTAATTTCTTTCCGGTCATATTTTGGGTTGTTTATCTCTCTATATTTGTCTTGTTTTCTGTTGAAAATGGTTGGTAACCACTCTGAATTTTGTGTTAAATTTATGGGAAAAAATTATTCGGCATGGGAATTTCAATTTTGTTTATATGTTACTGGAAAAGAGTTATAGGGACATATTGATGGTACTACTCCAGCTCTAGTAGATGCTACTAAATTAGCTGAATGGGAAATCAAAGATGCTAGGGTGATGTCTTAGATTATCGAGTCATGTGATTCTAAAATTGTTCTTAATTTACGCCCCTATAAAAGTGCTCAAACCATGTGGGAATATTTGAAAAAGGTTTATAATCAAACAAATTCAGCCAGGAGATTTCAATTGGAGTGTGAAATTGCAGATTATACACAGGGGAGTCTCTCTATTCAAGATTACTATTATGGTTTTCAAAATTCTTGGGCTGAGTTTTCTGATATAGTGTGTGCTGCAGTGTCTAAAGTTTATCTTGTTGATGTATTGGTTGTTTATGAAATTAGCAAGCGCGATCAGTTTCTGATGAAGCTACGTTCAGATTTTGAAAATGCTCATTATAATTTGATGAATCATCATCCTCCTCCTACCTTGGATGTGTGTTTCAGTGAATTGCTTCGTGAGGAACAACGTCTTCTTACACAAACCACTCTTGAATAGGAGAAAATGACTACAACACACATGGCATTTTCGGTTCACGGAAAAAGCAAGGGTAAAAATATGAGTAAGGTTCAGTGTTTTAGTTGCAAGAATTATGGGCATATTGTAGCAAATTGTACCCATAAATTTTGCAATTATTGCAAAAAAGCATGAGCACATCATCAAAGATTGTTTAACTCACCCTCAAAACCGTCAAAACACTGCTTTTCAAGCAACAGTTGGCAATTATTCTACAGATCAGATTCAAACTGGGCCCTCAACTATGTCAGTAGTCAATCAAAATGCTCAATCCACTGTTCTTACTCCTGAAGTGGTGCAACAAATGATAGTTTCAGCCCTCTCAGCTCAGAGACTCCAAGGTAATGGTAATTCTTTATCTAAGTCTTGGCTTGTTGATTCTGCCGCATCAAATCACATGACTAGTTCTGCTAATTTGCTACAAAATGGTGTGGCGGAGAGAAAGAATCGTCATCTCTTAGAAGTTTCTCGTACTTTGCTACTTGAGTCTTCCGTTCCTCCTCAATTATGGGTATAAGCTTTATCTACAACAGTTTATCTTATTAATAGACTGCCTTCTCAAACCCTAAACCTCGAGTCTCATTATTTTCATCTTTATCAACAACATCCTCAGTATGGGCATTTACATACATTTGGTTGTGTTTGTTTCGTTCATTTGCCTCATCTTGAACGTCATAAACTTTCTACTCAATCTGTTAAATGTGCATTTATGGGATATAGTACAAATCATAAAGGTTTTGTTTGTTATGATTCCTCTTCTAAGAAGCTTCGTGTTTCTCGCAATGTTGTTTTATTTGAAAATCAGTTTTTATTTCCAACTTGTGATCAGTCATTCTCCAATATTGCTATTCTTCCTACCTTTGATGAATCGTCTTCTTCTCCTGAACGATTCAAGCCTGAATATGTGTATGAAGGACGTCATTCACCACCGCGCCTTAGTGCTTTTAGCGATGCCGATTGGGCTGGCTGCCCAAATACTCGTCGCTCTGTTATAGGCTGGTGTATGTTTCTTGGGGATTCTTTGATCTTGTGGAAGAGTAAGAAACAAGATCGGGTTTCTAAATCTTCTACTGAATCTGAATATCGGGCTATGTCTACTGCCTGCTCTGAGATTACTTGGCTTCAAGGATTGTTGACTGAGATTGGATTTCCTCAATCTAATCCCACTCCTCTACATGCAGATAATACCAGTGCTATTCAAATTGCTACTAATCCAGTCTACCATGAGCACACCAAGCACATTGAAGTTGACTATCATTATATTCGAGATGCTGTAAATACTCGAGTTATTTCTCTTCCACATGTTTCCACAGCTTTGCAAATTGCCGATGTGTTTACCAAGTCTCTTACTCGACAGCGCCATCAATTTCTTATTGGCAAATTGATGCTTCTTGATCAACCATCATCAATTTGAGGGAGGATGTTGCCATATAGAGCAAACATTTATTTTGTACAACCTATTTATTTTGTATTCATATTATCTTTCCATAAGAAGATTGTATAGCTGTAGGTAGAGATAAATTAGCCTTAAATCTCTGTAAATCAGTATAGCTGTAGGTAGAGATAAATCAACCTTAAATCTCTGTAAATCAGTATAGCTGTAGGTAGAGACAAATCAGCCTTTAATTACTGTATATTCAGCTATATATTCAAGGAAATCAGAATGAAAAGACATTTGATCCATTCAATCAAAATTCTGTCGAAGGAAAAGTTATCAGAGCTTTGCCTTGGCAATGATGGAGTATATTCTGTAAGCCATTCTCTAGCTAGGTAATCCTACTTTGCTGAGAGAGAGGCTCTCCTCTTGCTACTTTGTTGGTTCTCATTGCTAGTTGGATTTTCTTTAGAGATGAAGTCCTCATTTACCAAATGAACATTCTCATCTTTCCCAGTGTTCTGTAAAAGTTCAAACTCAAACCACAAAATGATCATTGTTTAGTACAAAATTTGGTCCATTTGGTGTCAATGGTTTCAGGCTTGTTTCTACATCTAGTTGTTTGGACTCTAGAACCATTGTATCTTTCTTCATTTTCTCAATAAATCCACTAATGCGTTGAATTGAAACCTCATGAGCCATGGAGCTTGATGTCATTCTCACACTGCATTTTGGATTTTCATTCTCAACCTCTATGTGATCAGGAATCTCTACCATGGAAGAGAAGCAGACATTGTCTCTAGTAATTTTAAGATTTTGACACATCACATGGGGTGATGGTTGAGCAAAGATACTTAAGAATGGAGAGCTTCTGATGGATCCCTTGACAATGCCTCTGGCTCTAGCTTCCAATCCAAGAACAAGTACCTCTTTGATAAGATAGAAATGTAGCTCAAGCTTGTCATTAACAACTTAACCAACATGGTCATAGTTTACTACTTATTATCTCAAGGGCTGACCCATGAAGAGATTGACTTTAAATATATTCTCCACACTAATGTCTTTAGCAAGGGAAAGGGAAATAGGGAGCAACAATTCTATCTCTAATTGGATTCTACAACAAATTTCCACACTTATTCCATGATTTCCATCCTTTGGAACCCCCAATGCATCATCTTTTTTTGTAGATGGAACACCTATTAGAGCATTAAAGAATTCAATAACTTAGAATCCATTGGAGTTCCATTTTGGTGATGGCCACTGGTGAGATGATAGAAGTATTTCCCAATGAGAAGCAATGGAGGTAATTTTGGGTCAATTAGGTTTTAAGAGAAAATGACCAAGAAAAAAAAAATAGAGAAAGTTTCATGGGATATTTTGATAATTTAACACTTTCTATCATATGACTTACCGACTGAGGGGATATTTGTTGCAATGTAAAAGTTTAGGGGGTCTTTCTAATTTATCCTTATGTTTTTTTAATAATCATTCTAATATTATTAATAACCTAATTCTTATATTTTTCATTATTTTTCAAATTTTAACTTTATTAAAATATTTTAATTTAATCAATACTTTTGGTTGTTCCACTGCTAGTTGGTTTAAGTTTAAGGTCATATTTGATTTTCAATAAATAAGAGAGGGAAAATTAGTTAATGGGAAAATGATATCTATTGACCAACTTTATAATGTTCTTTTTTTCAATAAGTAATGAACCCCATGATAAAATTAATTTCATTTACTTGTGTAAAGTTTACCCATTTATGAGTTCAAATTTGCACCCCATGGCCTGACGCCCCAAAAACGTCCCACACATTGGGAGGCTGCCAACTGTCCTTCCACACGCATTCTCTCCTCGGCATATGTCCTGTTAGCTCTGAATAGTTTATTCTCTTGACTCACGGTTTGGCGCCTGTGCAACCATGCACTCTTCCTATCTGATCATCTCCGGTGCCGACGGTGGTTTTCGGCAGATATACAGGAGGTATGAACACGACCCTCTCATCTCATCTCTCTCCCATCCTTTATTTTATTTTATTTTTCAATACAAACACAGACGGAAGGATCACCGGCAACCACCCGACCCTTACCCAACTCATACAACTAGTAGAGCAATGAAATGAATCTATTGTTTGTCTCTTTCGTAATTCAGTTTGCAACTATCAAATATCTCTCTCATCTCCTGCGGAAGCTGAAATGAAATGAATCCATTTCTCACGGTTTCCATACTTCTCTGTTGGTAAGTTCTTGCGCAACTAGAGAAACTCCTCAGAATCTGCCTGGGCCATGGCTCCCCTGGTCCCCTGGCTCCGCCCCTGTAATCATCATCTTCTACCTGAAGTGTAGTTTTGGGTTGATTAATATAAATTGATAAAAGATGTACATGTATTGTCACTTTGCATATAAGTCACTTCAGCTATAATGATAAGTTGAGAAACATCAATTTGATGTTTTAATTATAAATATCAATTATTAGTTTCACGCATACAAAAATGCTTGTTTCAACTACAAACAGGTTCAAGTAACAGCCGTATACCAATTTGTTTTGATCGATCCAAAACATTTTAGGTGGAAACAGTAAGGGCCCATTCTTTTTTTTTTGATTTTGAGTATGGAAAAGTTGATTGGTCAATGGGATTTTGGTTATCGATGAACAATATACCCATGTTCTTTTTTGCTGTTCATGAAAACTTTGTTTTGCCCGAGTATATTTATTTGGGTTAGTGATACCCATCTCACATAAGTGGATAAATAACTTTCCTGCACCTAAGGGAAAAGTTGCCAATATTTAGATGGAACAAAATTTGTTATTTAACTAATGGCTTTTATAAAGCTAAATCATTGTCTTAGTTACCTAGCAATAAAGGAAAATGGATAAGAGCATTTAACCAACATAAGTATTTCCTACAAAACATTTAACATCTCGAAAAATGAATAGGGCAGGGAGTTGGATTTCAGTGCCTGAAGCTATATATCCCAACATCTACTATCCACTTCGTAGACTGATGTTGCCATTCAAGCTCACAACTTCGGCTGAAAATCTTGGTTCCCTCGATTAAGAGAATAGTGGTGACGAACCAGAAATCCATCTTGCCTAGTTTGATAGCAAAACCACCCAGAAGAACAACAGTTGCCTAGATGAAAGCTAAGGCTCCCACTCCATTGGCCGCTTTTTCAAGAGTTGCAAGGCGAAGGGCAAATAGTGTCAGCTTCTTTTCAGGTGCAAGGGCGGAGCTGGAATTGCAACTCTATAGTCTTCCAACTAGGCACCTTGTTCGAGCTGTAAAAGCAATTTTCTATCCAATTACTTCAATCGGGCTATAGATCCACCACAACCGACAAGTGAAAGAGAGCTTCAATACGGCAAGACCCAACAATTGGGTAGTGCAGAAGTTCCCATCACGGATATGGGCAACATCAGATGTCTCCTTGCTTCACTATGCAGGATGGGTGTTTCTGTTGTGAAACGTCAGTAAGCTACTCTATTGGCTTTAACTTTTATCAACCACAACGTGCGTGAGTCTTTCCCTGTTGAGGCTTATTCAGTAGGATTGCGGTGACTTTAGCGATCATCTTGACAAAAACCAGAAGCCTACTTTGGATATTTCTATGGATTGGCATTGGTTGAAGATTTGCTGTTTCCAATGGAGAAAGCATTTTGGGAGTGGAAGACTCACCGGTGATCACCGGTTCGTGTTTTGTATTGGAAAAAAAATGATGTGAAAGAGATATGAGTTGAGAGGGACGGGTTCGTACTTCCGATAATATCTACCAGAACGGTCATCGGTGCTTGAGACGATCGTATCAGAGTACATGGTTGCACAGGCGTCAGGCCCTGAGTCGAGAGAATAAGAGGGAACGGGGGAGATTTTAATTTTTGGTACAGATTTAGAACTAATAGCCCCGTCTTGTTAGCTCTGCATGCGTTGAGGGGAGAATGCGTGTGGGAGGACAGTTGGCGGCCTCCCATTGTGTGGGTGGTTTTTGGGGCGCTGGGCCGTGGGGCGCAGATTTAAATGAACTCCCCATTTCTAAGGGAGACCGGATCTGTTACTCACACTGATCTCACACGCACATTTTACCATGCATTGAGAATATCTCCCATACTTATAAATTATTATTCACAGAGATATTCCCAATGCATGATGGATGTGCCTGTAAGACGCCCATGTGTGAGGAGCTGATGGGTAAATAACTTTTCATATGGAAATGTTTATAAAAGCATAATGGCTGCGTTTGGATAGAATGTAAATCAAGATCCATGTAAAACTCCCATAATGGTTTAGATTTATTAGTGTTTGGATGGAGTGGAATTTTTACATTGTATGTCGATGTAAAATCTCATCTAAAGTAAAATTTTACATTGATGATTGATGTGAATACTATATTGATAAACTTGATGTAAAAACTCCATATTTTTCAAAGCTCAATGATCAAAAACCTTTTAAGGTTCGGTGTGAAACTCCATTGATGAATTTTTACATGGATGAAGTTTTATACAGCTTCCAAACGCAGCCAATAAAACAAATTTATCCATTTTAATATGAATTTTTATGGATAAAAAAGTCATTATGTTATCATCAAACATTTAACCACGTAAATAAGCGTATTTACCGGAATGGAAGTGACTTAAAAAACGAATAAGGCCTACACGTAAAATATAAATGGATAAGATAGAGATAAACCTAGGTTGCGTTTGTTGGGAAACATAAAATGAATTTCTTTCTAAATCCTTTTTGTTTTTCTTAAAAGTGACAGCCTATACGCTTTAGCAATACGTACCTTGCAACTAAACGTAATTCGATCCGGGAGAAACCTTGGAAAAACTCCTTCGCAGAAGAGGAGCGTTCTATCGACGGACTAAGTCCGGCGATCGAAGGTATGGTTTTGCTCCCTTCGTCTTTCTCTTCTTCTTCATCCTCCTCCCTTAGGGTTTGGAAGAGACTTCTTTCTTTGAGCTTTGTTTTAGGGTTGGGCGTGGACTTTGGAACCAGTGTAAACCGAAGGAGAGGGATAAAGGAGAAGACGAAACTGAAAATCTCATTCGATCTTTGTGGTTTGGATAAGAAGACCGAATTCGATCAGGTTATTTATCTTTCTTCGTCTTTTCCACACAACCGCTCTGCCCCCTTCTCTCCCCCCATTCTCTCTGTAAGAGCAAAAACAACGCCTTTGAAAATAGGGATCTGCTCCTCACTGTTCGAACGGCAAGTGGGGGCCTCTCTATGTGTGTGCACGTGCGCGAACAAGAACAGGGGGTCGATACCCTTGTTTCGCCTTTTCTCTATCTTCTCCTTGTCCCCATTCGGTTTCTCTCCGACCCCTTTGTTCATTGTGATTTAATTCATTTTTTCATTAGGAATTTTCTTTTGCAGAATTGGCATTACGAATTGCCAGGCTTCAATTTTAGCTGTCACCTTTGCTTTATTGGATAGAGTTGCTCCTCATTATAAGTAGTATGCGTCTCACCATAATCCTACTCTTATTATGTTATTTGTTTAAATTAGAAGTTTGTTTAACTTGATATATTATTTTATGAACTTGATGATCTAGTATCTTTTATCATGTGAAGTTTACTGCTGTTTGGGAAATTCTTCAATATTTCTTAATTCTGCTGTTTGCAGCTTGCTGTTATAATCAGGAAAATAATCTAGTGATCTAGGGTTCCTTTTGCCAAAATTCATGCCTAGGTGGGAGTTGCCTAGATTCATCCATATGCCTTGACACCATAGTACTTTTAACTCTTTTTATTTGGTTTATCTAATTGACAAAATTTTTATTGGATGTAAAGGGGAAGCAAAGGAAAAAAAGAAGAAACAAATTTTAAGAAAACACCTTGTGTGCACTTCTGAGTTCTGAATGAAAAAAAAGTTAATGCATACTTTCTGATATGTCACAAAGCCTCCTCAAAAGAAATAAGCTATCCATATACTCAAATTTGACTAAAACGAAATGTCCACTCAAGGAACTCAATTCTACATCCTTTTTGTTGTCAATGGGCTCAATTTTAGCTGAAAGCAAATGTTATTGCTTCCAATCCCTAAAAGTCTCCATATATCATACCTTAACCCTTCTAATAAATTTGTTTTCCATGTATTACAAAGACTACGTGTTTGTTCATGGATAATAAAGTCCTGCTAAGATGGCCACAAAATGATTTTCACTTATGAAAGAAAATAAGTTGTTTTTTTTTCCTGCCAATTGGCGTTAGAAGAGGCTTGGTTATCTAATCATTGATTCATTTCCAAAACATACATTATACTTGAATTTTCTTGAGACACATGCAAAATCACCAGGAATTTTTTTTGATAGATACAAAACCAAAACTGCCAGGATTTGAATGTGTTTTTCATACCTGAGGTCATTATCATGTGGACTTGGACATTGGAATTGAACTTGTTATTCCTACCTGAGTCCAATTTGGCAAGCCTAAAAAATTGGGACTTAGGAACACATCTCATATAAACAATTTTTTATAGTATATTAGATATTGTGATTTTTCGCTATTACTCCTAACATTGTAAACCTGTATAGGCATAAAAACTTAAATTTGATGGGCAGAAATATTGGGAACATATGGGCAATAAGATAGTCAGAATTCCTTGAAAATGGAGGGGAGTAATACCTGGGTCCTAATGTCCTATCTTTCAGGCCAGCAATTTTGATCCGTGCAAGGTTCAAAATTTTGTCATGTATTGGGGTGCATTGAGTGTATAATATCATATCAGCCCTGCTCCAATACATGAAACATTAAATGTTTTAAAATTTTTATGTTTTAGGTGGTACGCCTTGCAACACCGCTCCCCTGTAAACTTTTGAGAAAAACTAAAAAAAAAAAAGCACGCATGCTGGTCAAACCTCTATATGCATCTATTGGCATATTGGGGTGTATTGATATTTTGAGCCTTTGATCCATGGCACTTGGTCATCTCTTTGGCCAGTTCACAGGTTGATAGCCACGGGACCAAGGTTCAAAGTATCGATACATCCCAATATGCTGGAAAGGGTGTATCAACACTTTGAACCTGGTGGAGATCACTTTTTTTTTTGTTTTTTCTTTTCAAAATTATGTTTTGGAGTCAGTTTAAACATTGCTTAATGTTTAAACTGATTCCTTTTGGAAAATTCCTTGAAAATGGTGTATTATCCACCTGCCAATATGGTACAATAGACCCAATACAGCGTGTATTGTGTTGAAATTTTGAACCTTGAATGGGGCAATAAGAGTATACTGTAATCTTTATGCACTAAATGTCAAATCTCATAATTGCTGTGCAACCTTTTTTTTGGGGGGGTCGTAGGAATTCTGTATACAAAATATTGTTATGTTCATCAGTAGAGAATAGATATTCAAATGTGACAAAGAAAATCAACATTTCTAACTTGTTATCTTAGAGGAAGCTCAGGCAACAGTCATAGTGATTAGGCCATAAGGGTAAGTCAGTAACTGAGAGAACTGAAAAAAAGCTGGTAACTGAAAGTCTGAGAGAGATAGCTGCAAGCCCACAACTCAATCCTTGTCATTGTAGATCAAATGTCATGGTAAGGGTATTGGCTCTCCTCAATCCTCATCTAGTAGCCAGTCATCCAGAAGAAGGGAGTCCAAATTATTATAGAGTTTGCTTCTATTTAATTTTTGGTGGGAAATGTGGAAAGAAAGAAACAAAAGAATCTTTGATGGAAAGTCCACAAAGGGATTAGGATAGTTGCTATTTTTAATTCTTTCGGTATGGACTAGCTATTTGTTCATCCTGAATTTGAAGATGTATCTTGGTCTTCATTTAGGCCAATGATGGTCAATGCTAAGACACTGTTTATGAATTTCCTTTGTGGGTAAGATGGATATGCATATTGACTGAGTAAAGTATTGATATATTTCAGGTTGTAAATGTATCATTTTCTTTCTGATAATTTTTTCCTAAGTTTATTATCAATTTTGACATCTTGTACCTGTATGAGCTTCTGGTACTTGTACAGATGTCCAACCAATAAGCTACTTTGGAAATCAAATACTAGCAGTGAAGTGATTTCAGTGATCAAGAGGAGGGGATTGTACTAGTATATTTCGGCATATTAGCTATCTAGAAGTGATTAGAGCAGCAATTATAGTTTTGCTTCAGGAAATGATTTTGATATGTTCTTTAGGCCAATTTATTGTGGTAGAGAAAGCCTCTCAGGTGGATTTTTGGATTTTTTTTTGATAATAACAAGAAGATTTCATTAAAATAAATGGATCATTACAGACATTCTGGTGTTGAGAGGAGACCGAAAACAAGTGACAGAAAACTCTCAAGACTACGTTCTTGAGTAGTTGAGTTCCAAAAACACCCCTAATTGTGACTAATTTCCCTGAGAGACCAATTGTAGTAAGCTCCAGCCATTCCCTGCAACTTGAACCCCAAAATTCAAACCTATTCCTCACATCGAACCTCTTCAGCTTTGTTTCTTGAAGACATGCCACCTCTGGCTGAATCTTCTAATCAGATTTCTCACCACCATCCTCCTCCGATCTTCCCTCAAGTTAACTCTTAGTTTTGACATTTTCTCAAATAGTTGAATCACCAATTTTAGGTTCTTGACCCAACTAATATCCTCACCCTTGCAGAACAATAATGTATCATCCACAAACCATAAATGGGTCACCTTGACAAAGTGTGGTTGTTTGTCTTGGGACTTCAATTCTGTTGGCTTTGTCTTGAGACTTTGGTTTTCGTAGAGGGTTAACAGATGTGGTAGTTGATTTTGTCTAATTTGCTTTGCCTTCTTGGGAAAGTGTGGTTGGATCTCTCGTTGCTAGATAACAGGATTTGGGCTTCTCACCCCAAAGGGTTCTTTTCTTGTGGTTCCTTTTTTAAGTCACTTTGCAACACCTCCTCTCAACAGGCTTTCCTTTCCAAAGAAGTCTGGTGTAGGTCGGTTCCTCCTAAGGTAATGGCTTTTTGTTGGGAATTGTGCCATGGGAAAGTTAACACCATGGATAACCTTCAAAAGAGAAGACCCTTTCTCTGTATCTCTCCAAATTGGTGTATTCTTTGCAGATCTCATGGTAAGGACTGTTATCGTTTATTTCTATCTTCCTCCTTATTCCTCTTGGCCCCATAAAAGAGGAAGAAGCATGTGGAAGTGTTTTAGAGCAGCTTTGATTTGGACAGTTTTGGAAGAAAGGAATAATATAATATTCCCCAAGAAGGAAAGGAGCAGCCAGGCCTTGAAGGATTGCATCATGAATAGAGCAATACATTGGTTAAAGTCTATGGAACTGCAGCAGTAGCTAGAGTCTTTACAAACTGCCCGAAACTGAATTTTGATGGGAGCAGCCAGGGCAACCTAGGGCTCTCTGGATTGGGAGGAGTCCTGAGAAATGAGAATGTAGAGATTATTCTTCTCTACTTTGGTCCATTTGGAGTTGGGAATTCTGTTAAAGCAGAATTGTTAGTTGCCATACAAGGAGTTCTTCTTGCAAAAAAACTTGGGAGTGGAGCAGTTGCTAATTGAAAGGGATTCTAAGATAGTAGTGGGGTGGCTAAATAATTCAGAGGAGGTTGATCTACAAGAATGAGCCCAAGAAATATAAATGGCTGACAAGAAACATGACTGTTATGGTACATTGGGTGGGGAGATCAGCGAATGCCCTTGAGGATACTTTGGCAAAACAATGGACAAATAGGGAAACACTGTTTTGGGCTAAACTGTAATTTTGTAGTAGCACCCATGTATTCCTTGCTATAGTTGTTTTGGTTTATGTTTTTTGGGTTCCATGTCTTGGAGAGGCGGCATCTCGCACCTTCCCAACGGTCTGTAATTTCCTCTTGATTTTAATGAAATGTGATATATTATTTGTCAAAAAAAAAACTATAAATGGGTGATCAGTACTCTCCAGCCCCTTAACAAATTTTTAGAATCTGCCCTAGTATTAGCCTGCCCAAAACATCAACAATTAATGTGAACAGTCAGGGTCTTTTACTGGCATGATGTCCGGCAGTTTATCAAAGGCACAAATGGATTTTCAGGGTTTTTTGCTGAATGCATTTGTGGAACTCCAAATCTATAACAGGTGATTATTCGACAGTGAAATCATGATATCAGAGGGAAGAAAGATGGAAAAGAAAGTTGGCGATTGAAGCAAAAACTTTTCTTCTTGAGGAAGCAACAAACAATGGAACAACAATGCTGAAGATATGGGAAGACAAAAAAGCTTTTATTATGTTAATAGGAGAAGCCATTGGTTGGCTAAAAGGTTTTGTTGATGGAACAGTGCACTCTGTTAAAAGACAAGGTTGGAAAAGTTCCTTCGGTCTACTGGGGAAAAGCTATGAAGTAGAGATGAGAAGAAATGTGAAAGGATGGTTTGTCTCCATTACAGAGTACATTGGGGCTAATAGAAAAATTTTGATTTGTGTTCCAGAGGGCAGGGAGAGAAGAGGTTGGATGGTTTCTGCTGATAGTTTACAGGATC